GCTACATCTGGATCATGTTAGCCTTGAACAGCCTCTTCTACCTCTCAATCGCTCTATACGTCGAAGCCGTCTTCCCAGGCGACTACGGAGTACCTCAGAAATGGTACTTCCTCTTCACCAAAGCCTACTTGGTACTCCGACGGAGCTTCATCAGTAAATAACAATTCTAATGATGTTGTAATCGAAGCAAGCGAGTTCTTCGATGTTAATGCGATTTTTAACGCTTTTTTTTGACCAATTTTTCTCAATTTTTTTCTTTCTTTATTTTGCTCAATTTTTCTCAAATTTTTACGCAGTTTTTGAAGATGTTTTTGTCCAATTTTTCTTAATTTTTTGATCAATTTTTCTCAAATTTTTACGCAATTTTTGCCCGTTTTTTGACCAATTTTTGAAGATTATTGTCCAATTTTTCTCAATTTTGTTTTTTAATTTTTTGCTCATTTTGTCCAATTTTTCACCATTTTTAACGCTATATTTTTGCAAAATTTTACGCATTTTTTAATCTAAATTTTTAAGCCTTTTTTTGTCAAATTTTACGCAAATTTTGGGTTTTATTGTCCAATTTTCGCTTATTCAACACAACTGTCTGAAACAATTTAGAACGCTCCAAAAACCATTTAAAAACCTCCAAAAATCATTTATAACTCTCCAAAAATCATTTAGAACGTTCCAAAATCATTTAAAACTGTCTAGAACCATTTCGAACCCTCCAAAAATCATCTAGAATCCTCCAAAACCAATTTAAAACTTCCAAAAATCATTTTAAACCCTCCAAAAACCATTTAGAACCCTCCAAAAACCATTTAGAACTCTCAAAAAACCGTTTAGAACCCTCCAAAAATCATTTAGAACGCTCCCAAAATCATTTTGAACGTTCCAAAACCATTTAAAACTGTCTAGAACCATTTAGAACCCTCCAAAAATCATTTAGAACCCTCCAAAAACCATTTAGAACCCTCCAAAAACCATTTAAAACCCCCCAAAAACCATTTAAAACCCTCCAAAAAAACCAAAAAACGATCGTTTTTCTCCACTCCAGGCATCTCTTGGGACAAACTCTTCACCCCCAACTCACCCGACGACAATCTAACGCTCGGCTACATCTGGATCATGTTAGCCTTGAACAGCCTCTTCTACCTCTCAATCGCTCTATACGTCGAAGCCGTCTTCCCAGGCGACTACGGAGTACCCCAGAAATGGTACTTCCTCTTCACCAAAGCCTACTGGTGCTCCGACAGAGCTTCATCAGCAAACAACAATTCTAATGATGTTGCAATCGAAGTAGGCGAGTTCTTCGAACCCCCACCATCCGCTCTAAAACCCGGTATAGAGATCACCAACCTGCGCAAAGAGTACGGTCGTAAAACGGCCGTCAGAAACCTCACTTTGAGCCTCTACGAGGATCAGATCGCCGTTTTGTTGGGCCACAACGGGGCCGGCAAGTCCACCACCATGTCGATGTTGACCGGCATGGTGACCCCCACGTCGGGCACCGCCCGCATCGCCGGTCGCGACATCAGAACCGACATGGCGTCGATCAGAAACAACCTCGGTTTGTGCCCTCAGCACAACGTCATCTTCGATGATCTCACGGTAGCTGAGCACCTCTACTTCTTCAGCAAACTGAAAGGTGTGGAGGCTCAGAAAATTTCTGAGGAAATCGATAAATACGTGGAGTTGCTCGATTTGGAGCCGAAGAGAGATCAGAAATCGAGCACTCTGTCGGGGGGTATGAAGAGGAAACTGTGCGTGGGTATCGCCCTGTGTGGTGATTCGAAAGTGGTGATGTTGGACGAACCCACGGCGGGTATGGACCCGTCGGCGAGGAGGGTGCTGTGGGAGTTGCTGCAGAAGCAGAAGGAAGGTGAGAGAGTTTCGGTTTTGTTGTGTCGATATCTCGAAAACGGGGCGAGATATCGAAAAATTTTATTTTTCGTTTTCGCTTTATTTCGGTTCGTTTAAGCTAAAAAAAGTTGTCGTACTCTTAAAATCGTGTTCCTTCCTAAAAAAAAAATAAGAAAAGTACTCTTCATCGTAGAATAAAATTTATTCCTCAAGTAGATCGATGTTAAATATATCGATATCTCGAAAACGGGGCGAGATATCGAAAAATTTTATTCTTCATTTTTGCTTTATTTTGTCTCGTTTAAGCTAAAAAAAGTTGTCGTACCGTTGAAATCGTACTCTCCTCCCCAAAAATTAAAAAAAGAAATCCATCGTAGAATAAAATTTATTTCTAAGGTAGAACGATGTTATTGTATCGATATCTCGAAAATGAGGCGAGATATCGAAAAATGTTATTCTTCATTTTCGCTTTATTTCGGCTCGTTTAAGCTAAAAAAAGTTGTCGTATTCTTAAAATCGTGTTCCTCTCCAAAAAAATTAAGAAAAGTACTCTTCATCGTAGAATAAAATTTATTCCTCAAGTAGATCGATGTTAAATATATCGATATCTCGAAAACGAGGCGAGATATCGAAAAATGTTATTCTTCGTTTTCGCTTTATTTCGGTTCGTTTAAGCTTAAAAAAGTTGTCGTATTCTTAAAATCGTGTTCCTTCCTAAAAAAATTAAGAAAAGTACTCTTCATCGTAGAATAAAATTTATTCCTCAGGTAGAACGATGTTAAATATATCGATATCTCGAAAACGAGGCGAGATATCGAAAAGTTTCATTCTTCATTTTCGCTTTATTTCGTCTCATTTAAGCTTAAAAAAGTTGTCGTTTTCTTAAAATCGTACTCCCCCCCAAAAAATAATGAAAAGTACTTTTCATCGTAGAATAAAATTTATTCCTCAGGTAGAACGATGTTTTTGTATCAATATCTCGAAAACAAGGCGAGATATCGAAAAATTTTATTCGTTATTTTCGCTTTATTACGTCTCGTTTAAATCAAAAAAAGTTGTCGTACCGTTGAAATCGTACTCTCCTCCCCAAAAATGAAAAAAAGAAATCCATCGTAGAATAAAATTTATTTCTAAGGTAGAACGATGTTAAATATATCGATATCTCGAAAACGAGGCGAGATATCGAAAAATTTCATTCTTCATTTTCGCTTTATTTCGTCTCGTTTAAGCAAAAAAAAATTTTCGTACTCTTAAAATCGTACTCCCCCCCAAAAAAAAAAAGAAAACTCTACATTGTAGAATAATTTCCTCAGGTAGAACGATGTTATTGACCACGCACTTTATGGACGAGGCCGATATACTGGGTGATCGGATAGCTATAATGGCGGGCGGGAAGTTGCAATGTTGCGGTTCGAGTTTCTTCTTGAAGAAGAAATACGGGGCCGGTTATACGCTCGTTATGGACAAAACGAAAGATTGCGATGCTTCGAAAGTCACTGAATTGTTGCGAAATTACATACCGGAAATCCAGGTAAAACGTTTTCCTTTATTATTCGACGTCACGTCCGGTTTCAACGACGAGAAACGAATCTACAGAGTAGGTCACGACGAGCTTAAAGTGTCTATATCTTAAAGACTGCTCATACGATTTCGATGAAATTTGGTATAAATATTTTATGCGATAAGACGAAATTATTAAAAATATTTTGACAGTCGTAATAATTTCGGTTATACGGACATTAGTTAAATAATTCCACAAATACGTTCGTTGTAGATCGAAAGCAATGTAGGTAGCGAATTATCCTATCAACTTACCGACAATTACGCCCCGTTATTCGAATCTTTGCTCAAGCAACTGGAAATCGAATCGGAGTCATTGGGAATCCGAAGTTACGGGATATCTCTGACCACTTTAGAAGAGGTTTTTATGAAGTAAGACCTTTGCAAAATTGTTACCAATCGAAAGCTACAAGGGAAATAAAACGACAATAATCCATTTTTTTTTTCGCAAAGCTAAGCTCACAGTATATTATTAGAGCATTTTTTTAGTTACTGTCAAATGATGGAATCGTTAGATGGTTAAAAATTGAAAAATACTCTAAAAAAGTCAAAGCAACAGCTAAAAGATTGAATTTTCTATGAGAATGAACCCATTTAAAGTCAAAACAACAGCCAAAGAACGAATAATCCATTTTTTTTCGCAAAATTAAGCTCACAGTATATTATTAGAGCATTTTTGTAGTTACTATCAAATGATGGAATCGTTAGATGGTTAAAAATTGAAAAATACTCAAAAAAAGTCAAAGCAACAGCTTAAAGATTGAATTTTCTATGAGAATGAACCCATTTAAAGTCAAAACAACAGCCAAAGAAACGAATAATCCATTTTTTTCGCAAAATTAAGCTCACAGTATATTATTAGAGCATTTTTGTAGTTACTATCAAATGATGGAATCGTTAGATGGTTAAAAATTGAAAAATACTCTAAAAAAGTCAAAACAACAGCCTAAAGATTGAATTTTCTATGAGAATGAACCCATTTAAAGTCAAAACAACAGCCAAAAGATACCTTTAATTTCGCTTTCTAGCTTATATTTGAATTTTTCTCGATAATCATTTAGATGGACTATTGTCGTTTTAACCCAGTAGGTACAGCTCAATTAAACATTTCTCCTCGAATCGCTCAATTCATTTAGAGTCGGCGCCGATCACGGACAAGAGGAGGAAAACGACGAAAAAGAAAACAAACCATCAACCAAAAAACCCACCAGCAACGTCTCTACCAACAGTGAGCTCGATTAATCCTTCGAAAACCTCAAAAAAACCTCGTCAATTCCTCCAATTCCAGCCTCAACATCGTTAGCTCCAACTTACACCAGTGGCGTGCAATTGCTCAAAAACCAATTACTGGCTATGTTGATGAAGAAAGTCCTGGCCACGTACCGGTCGTGGATTTTGCTGCTCATCCAGATTTGCGTGCCTCTAATCAACATTATCCTGACTCTATCTATTCCGAACGCCGGCGTGAGCTCGGAGGGGCTCCCTCCGATGCCTCTGGATCTCGCCAAATTCAACAATCCGGTTACTTTGGTGGAGAATTTGGGGGAATACGGCGGGTGGTACGCTAGCGTGTTGGATGAGCACGGCCTCAAACCTACGGTAGAAGGAAATATCACGGAGAGGATGCTAGATTTGGTAGGGTTTTGTGTTTTTTTTTTGGGGCATGTATAGGGTGTTTGCAAAAAGGTTGGGCTAAAGTTGTGGAGGGTATGTTGTGGTGAAGAATTTTCGCGAAGGAGCTGTTTGGTAAAAATGAGTAGTTTTGGTTCTGGAGTTGCTTTTTTTTTTGTTTAAAAAGTTGTTTTTAACTATTTGTATGTAAAAAACGTCAACGTCTTTATAAATTTTCGCTTTCAAAATTTTCTAAAACGTGATAGTTTCCGAGTTTTGGCGTTACACACTTGAAGAAGATTTAACAACGGTTTTTTTTCGAAAAAACTCGAAAAGTACTGATCGGAAAAACGCGTCGTTTGTTTTATTAGATGGAAAAAAGTATTTTGAAAATTTTTGCAAGTATGTAAACTGTTCGTAAATCTTACCGTTTACGAGTTATTTTGATTTTTTGAAAACCCTCGAAAACTATTTTCCACGATATTTCCCTAAAACGATTTTTCCTGGAAAACGGCTATTTACCAAAGTTAAGAGAACCGATGGAGAATCTTTTGGGAGATTTTGAAGCGAATCGAACGAAATCGATTCGAAAAAAATGCGAAAAACCAAAGAAAAAAAAGGTTTAAGATATTTCGAGTTAAAAAAACCATGAAAGCTACTTTTCTCAATATTTCCCGAAACCAAATTTTCCCTGGAAACAAGTATTTACGAAAGTTGAGACAACCAATGGAGAATCTTTCGGGAGATTTTGAAGCGAATCGAACGAACTCGATTCGAGAAAAGTGCGAAAAACCGAAGAAAAAAAATTTATTTCGCTCATTTCGACACCGAAGCTGAAAACATCCGAAATCGAAATGTCGACTAATAACTCCAAAAATCTCCAATCAGCGAGTGATTGGGTGGAGTTTTTTTACATACAAGTACTCAAGAACAACTTTTTAAACAAAAATTCCTCCAGAACCAAAACGGTTAATTTTTAACTAACAATAATTTTACGAAAATTGTTCACCACAATCTTCTCCTTACGTTTATCACAACCTTTTTTACAACACCCTGTAAGAGAATTTGCGTTTTTGCAGACCAAAACCTATCCGAACGTAGTTCGAAGGCGCTACATCATCGGAGCCTCGTTCGAACATCTCAACGTCACCCTATTTAACCAACCGGTTAACTTTAACCAATCGATTACCCTACCGGCTCTAACCGCCTGGTTCAACAACGATCCCTACCACTCGCCGGGCATTTCTCTAGCCTTTCTCCTCAGCTCCATCTACAAGAATTTCTCCATCAACGAAGCTGCCCACGCTTCGCTGGAGTTCGTGAACAAACCGCTTCCGTACAAGGCCGAAACCCAATTCGATCGGATCAACAGCGGCCAAAGCGAAGGTTTCCAATTGGCTTTTAACATTTGTTTCAGCCTGGCCTTCGTTTCTTCGTTCTACGCGATTTTCCTGGTGAGAGAACGGGCCTCAAAGTCGAAGCATCTGCAGTTCGTATCGGGCGTGAAGATCCACGCCTTTTGGTCGGTTCACGCCTTCTGCGATGCGGTTACGTATTTGATAACCGTGGGGTTGATGTTGGCGGTGCTGGTGTTGTTTCAAAGGGATGGATTCAAGACGGCTGAGGATTTGGGTGGGTTGGTTGGGTTTTTGAGATGTACAGGGTGGTTGGGAAGGATGGTGGAGATGGTGAAGGTGCGGTCGAAGGCGTGAAGAAGTCGTTGGTTTGGTAGGTAAAGAGGTTTAGAGTGGAGCAATATCGGCAGCAACAAATCAGCAAATTTTTGAAGCAACAAAAAATTCTGTAGGTTTGGATTTGGGAGCAAATCTTTGATCAACAGTCTCAGTTGATTTTTGCTGTTTATGTTAAACTTGAATTGATCAAATTCGAAGTAATTTTGATGCAATAAAAAATCCTGTAAGTTTGGATCGATTTGAAAGCAAATCTTTAATCAACAGTCTCAGTTGATTTTGGCTGTTTCTGTTAAACTTGAATTGATCAAATTCGAAGCACTTTTGATGCAATAAAAAATCCTGTAAGTTTGGATCGATTTGAAAGCAAATATTTAATCAACAGTCTCAGTTGATTTTTGCTGTTTCTGTTAAACTTGAATTGATCAAATTCGAAGCACTTTTGATGCAATAAAAAATCCTGTAAGTTTGGATCGATTTGAAAGCAAATCTTTAATCAACAGTCTCAGTTGATTTTGGCTGTTTCTGTTAAACTTGAAATGATCAAATTCGAAGCACTTTTGATGCAATAAAAAATCCTGTAAGTTTGGATCGATTTGAAAGCAAATATTTAATCAACAGTCTCAGTTGATTTTTGCTGTTTCTGTTAAACTTTAATTGATCAAATTCGAAGCACTTTTGATACAATAAAAAATCTTGTAAGTTTGGATCGATTTGAAAGCAAATTTTTAATCAACAGTCTCAGTTGATTTTGGCTGTTTCTGTTAAACTTGAAATGATCAAATTCGAAGCACTTTTGATGCAATAAAAAATCCTGTAGGTTTGGATCGATTTGAAAGCAAATTTTTAATCAACAGTCTCAGTTGATTTTGGCTGTTTCTGTTAAACTTGAATTGATCAAATTCGAAGCACTTTTGATGCAATAAAAAATCCTGTAGGTTTGGATCGATTTGAAAGCAAATCTTTAATCAACAGTCTCAGTTGATTTTTGCTGTTTCTGTTAAACTTTAATTGATCAAATTCGAAGCACTTTTGATGCAATAAAAAATCCTGTAAGTTTGGATCGATTTGAAAGCAAATCTTTAATCAACAGTCTCAGTTGATTTTGGCTGTTTCTGTTAAACTTGAATTGATCAAATTCGAAGCACTTTTGATGCAATAAAAAATCCTGTAAGTTTGGATCGATTTGAAAGCAAATCTTTAATCAACAGTCTCAGTTGATTTTGGCAGTTTATGTTAAACTTTAATTGATCAAATTCGAAGCAATTTTGATGCAATAAAAAATCCTGTAAGTTTGGATCGATTTGAAAGCAAATCTTTAATCAACAGTCTCAGTTGATTTTTGCTGTTTCTGTTAAACTTGAATTGATCAAATTCGAAGCACTTTTGATGCAATAAAAAATTCTGTAAATTTCTATCGATTTGAAAGCAAATCTTTAATCAACAGTCACAGCTGATTTCGACAGATTTCGTTAACCTTGAAAGTGAAACAGACATAGAATTCTTCAATAATGTCAAATTGTTGAATTGATTTGAATTCCAACTGGTATTGCTCGATTATGAACCTCTTTATTTACCAAAGGAATAACTTTTTCAAGTCTTCGACTGCAGTTTTAACAACTCCATTGTCGTTTTCATAAAGCAGTGTGTTCTATTTCACCATGTCAATGTACAAAAACGATTGATTTTCGTAATTTTTAGGTGTTATTTTCGCCATTTTGTTGTGTTTCGGCGTTGCCATGTTACCCTGCGTGTATCTGTCATCTTTCTACTTCGATGTACCTTCTACTGGTTACACTAGATTGACTTTGTTGAGCATATTTAGCGGTAAGTTCGATTTAAATTTCATCTATTTTATCTTTATCTACTACCATGTCATAATAACGCAAATTTGACATTTTTTTAAAATGTCCTAATGACACTTGTAATTTTTAGAAAACGCAGGCAAAAAGTAAAAAAAAAATTTAACTAGAATTTTATTTATTACAAATGTTGAGAGGGAATATCAGAGGGAATTTATTCATCTGAAGAGAACTCATTATTACCTTTTTTTATTAAATAATTTTTTTTTTTAGAAAATTTATATTTAAAATGACAAATATGCTTGTTTGACTTTTGTAACCCTAGTTACGAAAATTGAAAAACATGCATCACTTGATTTTTTAATAAAAAATTATCTCTGATTCTGACTTCGTTAACAATTTATTGTTCCAAACAGTTTGAGAGAATTTGCTGACAGTAGAGAGATTTAGAATTCTGCGCCAGCGCATTTTCGATTCAGCTTTAATTTGTATTTTGCGAAATATAGGTTAAATATTTTAGGTTATGTTCCATCGAGAAATCGGAAATTTGATTATACCATTTAATCATAAACAATAAATAGAAGGGTTAAGAAACTTATTGGTAACAAATCAGCGACTTTTTGTAAGAACAAGCCTAAATAGAAATAACTATTATCATATTCAGTGTCAAATGAACGAAATAAACTTTTTTCCTTCGGTGTTTCGCACATTTCTCGAATCGAGTTCGTTCGATTCGCTTCAGAATCTCCCGAAAGATTTTCCATTAATTGTCTCAACTTTCGTAAATACTTGTTTCCAGGGAAAATTTGGTTTCGGAAAATATTGAGAAAGGTAGTTTTCACGGTTTTTTTAACTCTAAATATCTTTTAAACCTTTTTTTCTTCGGTTTTTCGCACTTTTCTCGAATCGAGTTCGTTCGATTCGCTTCAAAATTTCCCAAAAGATTCTCTATCGGTCTAATAACTTTGTCAAATAGCCGTTTTCCAGGAAAAATTCGTTTTCGGGAAATATCGTGGAAAATAGTTTTCGAGGGTTTCTAAAAATCAAAATAACTCGCAAACTGCGAGATTTACGAACATTTTACATACTTGCAAGAATTTTCAAAATACTTTTTTTCATATAATGAAACATACGAGGCGTTTTTCCAATCAATACTTTTCGAGTACTTTCGAAAAATAAATAGCTATTATCATCTTCAGTGTCAAATGAACGAAATAAACTTTTTTTCTTCGGTTTTTCGCACATTTCTCGAATCGAGTTCGTTCGATTCGCTTCAAAATCTCCCGAAAGATTCTCCATTGGTTGTCTCAACTTTCGTAAATACTTGTTTCCAGGGAAAATTCGGTTTCGGAAAATATTGAGAAAGGTAGTTTTCACGGTTTTTTTAACTCTAAATATCTTTTAAACCGTTTTTTCTTCGGTTTTTCGCACTTTTCTCGAATCGAGTTCGTTCGATTCGCTTCAAAATCTCCAAATTGATTCACCATGAGTTCTCTCAACTTTCCTATATAGCCGTTTTCCAAAAAAAATTCGTTTTGGGAAAATATCGGGGAAAATAGTTTTCGAGGGTTTTCTAAAAATCGAAATAACTCGCGAACGGTAAGACTTACGAACATTTTGCATACTTGCAAAAAAATTCAAAATACTTTTGTCCATCTAATGAAACAAACGACGTGTTTTTCCGATCAGTACTTTTCGAGTTATTTCGAAAAATAAACAGCTATTACCAATCTAACTTGCATGTACCGACGAGAATTTATTTTTTGTTTTTAGGTTGCGTTACCTTTCTGGTGGTGACGATCCTGGCGGTACCTCAATTGGATTTAACGAACATCAGCGATGCCCTTCATTGGCCATTTTTGTTATTCCCCCATTATTCCCTAGCTAGCGGAATAAATGGCTACTATACGAAATATCAAACGAACAAAATTTGCGATAAATACTACGCTGTATGCGACAAAAATGGTTCAGTTTCACCTGCTTGTATGAGTTTAGGAAAAACTTGTGACGGTGAGTTGAAGATTACCGGAAAAATTTCATTTCCTTCATTTCTTCTTCATTCCTTCATTTCATTACATTGGGATTCAAACGAAGTTTAATGCTAAACTCAAGTTATGTTCAATCTTTTATGTTGTATCACTAGTATAAATTATAAAGTTAATTTTTTAATCATGTGGAAATTCTAGTTTAAAGTTAAAGCTTTAAACAGGTTCTTGCAACGATGTGATTTAAAGTTATATTCAATCTTCTATGTTGCATCACTAATATAAACAACAAAGTTTATTATAAAATTTTTAATATTCGCTTGAGATTAAACGGTAAATCATCATCAAAAATATCTTCATAATATATGTTTACTTGTTCAATTTCCATCACAAGTAAATAATATCTGATTGATAATATGCAATAAATACAAAATAAACAATAAACCTCGATATACTTAAAATGTCCTACTAATACAGAACTTTGAACCAAAATTTTGTGTTCTGTGGTGTTTTTTCTCTCAAATGCCCACTATGTGTGGAACATTAAAATTATTCCAAATAAAAACCAAATAAAAAGTTATAGATTAACTAAATTCTTCACTTTTATAAGCGAAGAATAACTTTTATAAGCTAGAAGTTGGCGGCATATGGAAAACTTTTTTATTATTAACTTTTCGAAAAAAAGTTATTCTTTATAAAATGTTCCGCATGGTCGGAAACTCAAAATGCAACCGGATATCAAAATTTCGCAGTCGTATACGAGGTTTGTCGAAAAATGTGATTGTTGCTCAAGAGTAAAGTACCTCTATTTTTGATAATATCGAAAATTTATAAAGAAAAATTTTTTGAAATGAAAATAACTTTCAAATTTTTAATGTTTATTTACATTAAAAAATATTAAAGAAGTATTTTAGAAAGTAGCAGGATATAAACTTGATTTTAGGCAGTTTATGCGGAGAATTATTAAATGTAATAATGCAGTAATGCAATAATGTGCAAACAAAAATTTTCATTGTTTTCGCAGAGAATATTTTACATATTTGACAGTAATTTTAAATTCTAAATATTTTTTCTTTATAATAATTTTCGACATTATCAAAATAGAGGTACTTTACTCTTGAGCAACAAAAACATTTTTCGACAAACCTCGTATACGACTGCGAAATTTTGATATCCGACGGTTGCAATTAGAGTTCCCGACCATGCGGAGCATTTTATAAAGAATAACTTTTTTTCGAAAAGTTAATAAAAAAAAAAGTTTTCAACTTAAGCGACACTGGAATGAAGCACAGTGTACAGGGTGATCCTAAACATCGTGTACATCCGAAAGGGGGTGATTCCTTGGCTTATTTTATGACTAAAAGTTCATACAATCGTGAGTCCGTAAACACTTCTTTACCGATCTACAGGGTGTTAAAATTTTTAATTTTTTTTGGTTTTTTCTTTGTAACGGCTTCACTTTATGAGGTATTTGGCTCAAATTTTAAATATAGATTGCTTTATAGGACACACATTATTGGGTATGTCTGATGGTTGTTGAATTCTACAGGGTGATATTTTTTCAAGGGTCATGTACCCATTCCCCCGCCCCGAACTTTTTTGCTGTGCGCCGCTGGTAGAATTTAAAATACAAAATTAATTGTCTGTTTTGTTTAGAAACTTTTTTTATTTATAAACTTTTTTCGTTTCTGTGACCGTTATAGAAAAAAAAATTAAAAATCATTTTCTGTACAAATGATTTATTTTACAAAACAAAAACCCTAAATATACGTTTATATGAACTTTTAGTCATAAAATAAGCCAAGGAATCACCAAGGAAAATTCGGTTGTACACGATGTTTAGGAACACCCTGAATATTATTACACTAACTAGTATTATAAATACAGGGTGGTACATTAGTATGGAAAAGCTCAATATATCTGTTATTGTAGAAGATATCAAAAAAACGTCATTACAAAAGTTGTAGATCTTTTTAAACTGCACATTTTAAAATTAGTTACATTCATACAGAGTGTCCCGTTTTTCCGCAGTAGATCAAACTTATACTTTTTTAAATGGAACACCCTGTTTTTTATTTAATAATTGTATTTAGTTCGTTTTCAGCTTTCCGAAAATATAATTTCGTATAACGTTATACTGAGTGGTTTAAAAGTTATGATCACTTTTCCACGAAAATCGTACTAAGTTTACCACTCTGTAGAAACTAAATGGATTGAATTGAAAATAAATTTCACGTCTTGCAACATTGCAAATATCCTGAAAATGTACAAAATGAATATTTTTGGTCAATTTCAATCGTACTGCTTACGGGGTGGATCAAAACGCAAAAGTAACAATTTCTCTGTTAATTTAAACGAATCCTACCCTATACGAAAATCTCACCCTATATTTTATATCGTTTACAGGAAGTATTTTTGAAGTACTTTCATTCTTAATAACCATTCCCTGTATATAACAGATATACAGGGTGTCCCAAAATTCACGCCCGTCCTTTCAGAATATGATTCAGCGGGCTAAAACAAATTAAATTTTAAGAATAAAATTTTTTCGTTTCGTCAATAATTTTATCATGTCAACGTATTCTCGATTAGAATAATAATGATCCATTTTTATAATAAAAAAAATAAAATTCTACTTATGCCAATAACGACAGAAGTTGACAGAACGAATTAAAAAATTTTACCATCACCATAGCAACCTGCCAGTCATTTGTTTTTAGCTTACTTTGTTTTAATTAAAGTTTAATGGTTGAATTTAAATTTTTTTTGGTTTTTTTATCAATAACTCGGTTATCAAGGACAAAACGAAAAAATTTTACTCTCAAAATTTAATTTGTTTTACCCCGCTGAATCATATTCTGAAAGGACGGGCGTGAATTTTGGGACACCCTGTATTAAGATTTTCCATACTTAATGCTCCAGCAATTTTCCTTTCTTAGGCATCGACAAAAACTATTTCTCATGGGAACGCCCGGGCATCGGTAAAAACGTCATATTCTCTCTCACATCGGGCGTCCTGCTATTCGCCCTGCTCTTAGTCGTCGAATACCAGCTATTCGCCCGGATGCTCTACTATTTAGAGCAAAAATTCCGCCCTAAATCGCCGGTGCCCGTGGAAGACGAAGACGACGACGTGGCCAGAGAGAAAGAGCTGGTGAGGAACTCCGACGAGTTGGATTTGCCGCTCAAACACAGCCTGGTCATCAAGGATCTCACGAAGTATTATAAAAACTTTTTGGCAGTCAACGGACTGTCTTTGTGCGTCGGAAAATCCGAATGTTTCGGTTTGTTGGGCATAAACGGAGCAGGAAAGACAACCACATTTAAAATGATGAGCGGTGATGAGAGGATATCCTACGGAGACGGTTGGGTGAGTTTTTATTCTCCAACTTTCGTATATAGCCGTTTTCTATGGAAAATTCGTTTTCGGAAAATATTGTGAAAAGTAGTTTTCATGGTTTTATTAACTCGAAATGTCTTATAAACCTTCTCTTTCTTCGGTTCTTTGCACTTTTCTCGAATCGAGTTCGGACGATTCGCTTCAAAATCTTCCGAAAGATTCTCCATTGGTTGTCTCAACTTTCGTATATAGTTGTTTTCCAGGGAAAATTCGTTTTGGGAAAATATCGCGGAAAATAGTTTTCGAGGGCTCTCTAAAAATCGAAATAACTCGTAAACGGTCAGATTTACGAACATTTTCCATACTTGCAAAAAAGTTGAAAAAACTTTTTTCCCTCTAATAAAACATACCGGGTGTTTTTTCGATTAGTACTTTTAGAGTTTTTTTCGAAAAAACCGTTTTTAAATTGTCTTCAAGTTTGTAACGGCAAAACTCTTTTGGAAAATTTTGAAAGCAAAAATTTATAGATACATTTTTCGATGATACGACTACTTATAGATGAAAAGGTTTTATAAGTATCTCTTCGGAATGGTTCTTATCAAGAAGTTCTGACAACTGTTGAATTAAATTTGTAGAAGACTCAGAAACTTATTGGTAACAAATCAGCGACTTTTTGCGAGAACAAACCTAAATGGAAACAACTATTATCATCTTCAGTGTCAAATGAGCGAAATAAACTTTTTTCTTCGGTTGTTCGCCCTTTTCTCGAATTGAGTTCGGTCGATTCGCTTCAAAATTTCCCAAAAAAATTCTCCATTAGTTGTCTCAACTTTCGTATATAGTTGTTTTCCAGGGAAAATTTGGTTTCGGAAAATATTGAGAAAAGTTGACACGGTTGACATTGAGTTTTCACGGTTTTTTTAACTCGAAATATCTTTTAAACTTTTTTTGTCTTCGGTTTTTCGCACTTTTCTCGAATCGAGTTTGTTCGATTCGCTTCAAAATCTCCAAAAAGATTCACCATCGGTTCTCTCAACTTTCCTATATAGCCGTTTTCCAGGAAAAATATCTTAAAAAATAGTTTTCGAGGGTTCTCTAAAAATCGAAATAACTCGCAAACGGTAAGACTTACAAACATTTTTCATACCTGCAAAAAAATTCAAAACACTTTTGTCCATCTAATAAAACAAACGACGCGTTTTTCCGATCACTACTTTTCGAGTTTTCTCGAGAAAAACCTGTACAGAGTAAAATCATCTCGGCATTAATCCGTTTCTACTTCCAAACAGGTAGCAGGCAAGAGCATCAAAACCGAACTGAAAGGTTGGTTCTGGAGGAATTTTTGTTTAAAAAGTTGTTCTTGAGTACTTGTATGTAAAAAAAACTCCACCCAATCACTCGCTGATTGGAGATTTTTGGAGTTATTAGTCGACGTTTCGATTTCGGATGTTTTCAGCTTCGGTGTCGAAATGAGCGAAATAAATTTTTTTTCTTCGGTTTTTCGCACTTTTCTCGAATCGAGTTTGGTCGATTCGCTTCAAAATCTTTCGAAAGATTCTCCATTGGTTGTCTCAACTTTCGTATATACTTGTTTTCCAGGGAAAATTTGGTTTCGGGAAATATTGAGAAAAGTAGCTTTCATGGTTTTTTTAACTCGAAATATCTTAAACCTTTTTTTTTCTTCGGTTTTTCGCATTTTTTTAGAATCGATTTCGTTCGATTCGCTTCAAAATCTCCCAAAAGATTCTCCATCGGTTCTCTTAACTTTGGTAAATAGCCGTTTTCCAGGAAAAATCGTTTTAGGGAAATATCTTGGAAAATAGTTTTCGAGGGTTCTCTAAAAATCGAAATAACTCGTAAACGGTAAGACTTACGAACATTTTTCATTCTTTCAAAAAGATAGAAAACACTTTTGTCCATCTAATAAAACAAACGACGCGTTTTTCCGATCACTACTTTTCGAGTTTTCCGCGTTTTTCCGATCAGAACTTTTCGAGTTTTCTCGAGAAAAACCCTCCACAGAGTAAAATCATCTCGGCATTAATCCGTTTCTACTTCCAAACAGGTAGCAGGCAAGAGCATCAAAACCGAACTGAAAGACGTCCAACGTTCGATCGGCTATTGTCCCCAATTCGACGCCCTCTTGGACGACATGACGGCCAGAGAATCCATAATAATGTACTGTCTGCTCAGAGGCATCGAACTGGAGCGCACGCGCTCCATAGCCTGCTCGTTATCCGACGAATTCGACTTCCGCAGGCACCTCGACAAGAAAGTGAAAGAATTGAGCGGAGGTAACAAGAGGAAATTGAGCACGGTGTTGTCGTTGATCGGCGATCCGCCTGTCATATTCCTCGACGAACCCACCACTGGTACGTTCCTCTCGAATTTTAAAGTTCTATTTTCGTCCGATTTCTCTAAATCATCGCAGAAGATATATCGCAAGTCTTTGCTACAGCGATTGTTCTCGATAACGACTGATTGGCGTGTTTTTGCGTGACGAAAAAATCGGAAAAAAATCCTATCGTACGTAACTCGACGGGATCTATCGAAATATCGACTTTTCGCAACCCGGAAAATTTTCCTTTCGGATGAAAAACCGGTTTTTTAGTGAAAATCAGGCGATTTTCGGAATTTTCGATTATAAATTAATTTAATTCGTTATCTCCGAAACTATCGAGTTTTCGAAAAAAAATTATTCTTCCAAAATTGTTAATTGAAGTTTCGTTCAACTAACAAAACAAACCCAATAATAATATCTTTAACCGTTCCGGAGTTATAGCAAAAAAAATCATCGTCGATGCACCGAAGTACGACAAAACCTACAACTATACAAACTGTAGGAGACATTCATTCGCTAAACCGATTCATTCACCCACCGATTTTCTCCAAACTTTCCCAAAATCATCTCCATTTAATCACCAATCACCTCCCGCAAACCGCATATCGGCAAATATCCCACAAGCGAAGTTATAGAAAAAAATAAGCTTCTCTGATTGGCGTGTTTTTATATTTTTTTACGGCTTTATTCGTGTACGAAAAAATCGGAAAAAAAATCCTATCGTACGTAACTCGACGAGATCTATCGAAATATCGACATTTCGCAACCCGGAAAATTTTCCTTTCGGATGAAAAACCGGATTTTTAGTGAAAATCGGGCGATTTTCGGAATTTTCGATTATAAACTAATTTAATTCGTTATCTCCGAAACTATCGAGTTTTCGAAAAAAAATTATTCTTCCAAAATTGTTAACTGAAGTTTCGTTCAACTAACAAAACAAACCCAATAATAATATCTTTAACCGTTCCGGAGTTATAGCAAAAAAAATCTTCGTCGATGCACCGAAGTACGACAACTATACAAACAGTAGGAGACATTCATTCGCTAAACTGATTCATTCACCCACCGATTTTCTCCAAACTTTCCCAAAATCATCTCCATTTAATCACCAATCACCTCCCGCAAACCGCATATCGCCGAAAAACCCACAAGCGAAGTTATTATAAAAAAACACAAGCTTCTCATCTAAACCACTCAAAACACGTTTCTCTCTCGATTGCCCCCCCCCATCAGGCATGGACCCGGCGACGAAGCGCCATCTCTGGGACGCCCTCTGCAAGATCCGCGACGCCGGCAAGACGATCGTCCTGACCTCTCACAGCATGGAGGAATGCGAAGCCCAAAATTATCTCCATTTAATTACTAATGACCTCCCGCAAACCGCATATCGGCGAAAATCCCAAAAGCGAAGTTATAGAAAAAATAATCTCTGATTGGCGTGTTTTTATATTTTTTTACGGCTTTATTCGTGTACGAAAAAATCGGAAAAAAATCCTATCGTACGTAACTCGACGAGATCTATCGAAATATCGAAATTTCGCAACCCGGAAAATTTTCCTTTCGGATGAAAAACCGGATTTTTAGTGAAAATCAGGCGATTTTCGGAATTTCCGATTATAAATTAATTTAATTCGTTATCTCCGAAACTATCGAGTTTTCGAAAAAAAATTATTCTTCCAAAATTGTTAATTGAAGTTTCGTTCAACTAACAAAACAAACCCAATAATAATATCTTTAACCGTTCCGGAGTTATAGCAAAAAAAATCATCGTCGATGCACCGAAGTACGACAAAAACTATACAACTGTACGAGACATTCATTCTCTAAACTGATTCATTCACCCACCGATTTTCTCCAAACTTTCCCAAAATCATCTCCATTTAATCACCAATCACCTCCCGCAAACCGCATATCGCCGAAAAACCCACAAGCGAAGTTATTATAAAAAAAACACAAGCTTCTCATCTAAACCACTCAAAACACGTTTCTCTCTCGATTGCCCCCCCCATCAGGCATGGACCCGGCGACGAAGCGCCATCTCTGGGACGCCCTCTGCAAGATCCGCGACGCCGGCAAGACGATCGTCCTGACCTCTCACAGCATGGAGGAGTGCGAAGCCCTCTGCACTCGACTCGCCATCATGGTGAACGGCAACTTCCGGTGCTTGGGCTCGGCGCAGCGCCTCAAGAGCAAATTCGCCGAGGGCTACGCCCTCGCGCTGAAGGTGCGCAAGGGCGCCGATTCGGCGCGAGCCGAGCGATTCGTGGCGGAGAATTTGGCGGGGGCGCGGCTGCGCGAGAAGCACCAGGAGCTGTTGAGCTACTACATGGCGGACAAGTCGATGGCTTGGTCGGAGATGTTCGGGGCGTTGGAGAGGGCGAAGCGGGGCGATTTGGACGTGGAGGATTATTCGTTGGGACAGAGCAGTTTGGAGCAGGTGAGGATTGGTGGTGGTTTTTTTTTGGGAGCTTTTGCTTCGAAAAATGAATGGGGATTGGTTTGGTTTGCGTTGTTGGAGGCGGAAAATTGGAAGGAATTGGTTCTTGTTTGCGTTGTTGAAGGCGAAAAATGGAGGAATTGGTTCTGATTTGCGTTGTTGGAGGCGAAAAATGGAAGGAATTACTTCTGATTTGCTTTGTTATAGGCGAAAATTGGAATGAATTGGTTCTTGTTTGCGTTGTTAAAATCGAAAAATGGAAGGAATTGGTTCTTGTTTGCGTTGTTGGAGGCGAAAAATGGAAGGAATTGGTTCTTGTTTGCGTTGTTGGAAGCGAAAAATGGAAGGAATTACTTGTTTGCGTTGTTGGAAGCGAAAATTGGAAGGAATTGGTTCTTGTTTGCGTTGTTGGAAGCGAAAATTGGAAGGAATTGGTTCTTGTTTGCGTTGTTGGAAGCGAAAATTGGAAGGAATTGGTTCTTGTTTGCGTTGTTGGAAGCGAAAAATGGAAGGAATTACTTCTTGTTTGCGTTGTTGGAGGCGAAAAATGGAAGGAATTACTTCTTGTTTGCGTTGTTGGAAGCGAAAATTGGAAGGAATTACTTCTTGTTTGCGTTGTTGGAAGCGAAAAATGGAAGGAATTACTTCTTGTTTGCGTTGTTAAAATCGAAAAATGGAAGGAATTACTTCTTGTTTGCGTTGTTGGAAGCGAAAATTGGAAGGAATTGGTTCTTGTTTGCGTTGTTGGAAGCGAAAATTGGAAGGAATTGGTTCTTGTTTGCGTTGTTGGAAGCGAAAATTGGAAGGAATTGGTTCTTGTTTGCGTTGTTGGAAGCGAAAAATGGAAGGAATTACTTCTTGTTTGCGTTGTTGGAAGCGAAAAATGGAAGGAATTACTTCTTGTTTGCGTTGTTGGAAGCGAAAATTGGAAGGAATTACTTCTTGTTTGCGTTGTTGGAAGCGAAAAATGGAAGGAATTACTTCTTGTTTGCGTTGTTGAAATCGAAAAATGGAAGGAATTACTTCTTGTTTGCGTTGTTGGAAGCTAAAATTGGAAGGAATTAGTTCTTGTTTGCGTTGTTGGAAGCGAAAATTGGAAGGAATTGGTTCTTGTTTGCGTTGTTGGAAGCGAAAATTGGAAGGAATTGGTTCTTGTTTGCGTTGTTGGAAGCGAAAAATGGAAGGAATTACTTCTTGTTTGCGTTGTTGGAAGCGAAAAATGGAAGGAATTACTTCTTCTTTGCGTTGTTGGAAGCGAAAAATGGAAGGAATTACTTCTTGTTTGCGTTGTTGAAATCGAAAAATGGAAGGAATTACTTCTTGTTTGCGTTGTTGGAAGCGAAAATTGGAAGGAATTGGTTCTTGTTTGCGTTGTTGGAGGCGAAAAATGGAAGGAATTGGTTCTTGTTTGCGTTGTTGGAGGCGAAAAATGGAAGGAATTGGTTCTTGTTTGCGTTGTTGGAGGCGAAAAATGGAAGGAATTGGTTCTTTTTTGTGTTGTTGGAAGCGAAAAATGGAAGGAATTACTTCTTGTTTGCGTTGTTGGAAGCGAAAATTGGAAGGAATTACTTCTTGTTTGCGTTGTTGGAAGCGAAAAATGGAAGGAATTACTTCTTGTTTGCGTTGTTGGAAGCGAAAAATGGAGGAATTAGTTCTGATTTGCGTTGTTGGAGGCGAAAATTGGAAGGAATTACTTCTTGTTGCGTTGTTGGAAGCGAAAAATGGAGGAATTAGTTCTGATTTGCGTTGTTGGAGGCGAAAATTGGAAGGAATTACTTCTTGTTTGCGTTGTTGGAAGCGAAAAATGAAGAAATTACTGCTTTTTTTGCGTTGTTGAAAGCAAAAATGAAGGAATTACTTCTTTTTGCGTTGTTGGAAGCGAAAATTGGAAGGAATTACTTCTTGTTTGCGTTGTTGGAAGCGAAAATTGGAAGAAATCTCTTCAAACCATTTTCTATTCCTTTGCTTTGTTAGAAGCGAAAGATCCCGCTGGTGCTTTAAAGCGAAACATCTTATGGTTTAAAAACATTTTTCTAATTATCTTTCGCCTCTACCTTTTTAATTCAAAGTTGTTTGTTCGTTGATCGATCATTTGAAAAGTTTCTAATCTTTCGAGCAACGAATTTTTGTTTACAATGAACGATTTTTTACCTTTCGTATGAACACTTGTAAACTATACAGGGTGTCCCAAAATTCACGCCCGTCCTTTCAGAATATGATTCAGCGGGCTAAAACAAATTAAATTTTAAGAATAAAATTTTTTCGTTTTGTCCTTGATAACCGAGTTATTGATAAAAAAAACAAAAAAATTTAAATTCAACCATTAAACTTTAATTAAAACAAAGTAAGCTAAAAACAAATGACCGGCAGGTTGCTATGGTGATGGTAAAATTTTTTAATTCGTTCTGTCAACTTCTGTCGTTATTGGCATAAGTAGAATTTTATTTTTTTTTATTATAAAAACGGATCGTTATTATTCTAATCGAGAATACGTTGACATGATAAAATTATTGACGAAACGAAAAAATTTTATTCTTAAAATTTAATTTGTTTTAGCCCGCCGAATCATATTCTGAAAGGACGGGCGTGAATTTTGGGACAACCTGTATAATGATATAAAAATACAAAACTTAAACCAAAAATAACTGATCTGTTTTCATATTTAGGCTAGAGACTTTTCAAGTGTACCATCTAGTAGATGTATTTTTAATATTTTTTTTTCTCGACGTTTGTTTCTTCAGGTTTTCCTGTCGTTCACGAAACATCAAATCGAAGAAGAAGATTAATACAAAGAACTTATGTATGTTAAAATTTAAATAAAAAAATCTATTTATTCGATTTATATACTTTCTTTACAACACCCGAAGAATACACATTTTTTTTGTTACGCAATCATTCAATCTAAAACTGTCTAGAATCGTTTAAAACTGCCCAAAATCATTTTAGAACTGCCTAGAACAATTCAGAATACCCCAGAATCATTTAAAACTGTCTAAATTCATTTAGAATGTTTTAGAATCATGTAGAGCGCTTCCGAATCATTTAGAATGCTCCAGAATCATTTAAAACTGTCTAAACTCATTTAGAATGTTTTAGAATCATGTAGAATGCTCCAGAATCATTTAGAACGCTCCAGAATCATTCAAAACTGGCTAGAATCTTTTAGAACGCTCCAGAATCATTTAAAACTGTCTAAACTCATTTAGAACGCTCCAAAATTATTTAGAAACCTCCAAAAATTAATTATAACGCTCCAGAATCATTTAAAACTGTCTAGAATCATTTAGAACGCTCCAAAATTATTTAGAAACCTCCAAAAATTAATTATAACGCTCCAGAATCATTTAAAACTGTCTAAACTCATTTAGAACGCTCCAAAATTATTTAGAAACCTCCAAAAATTAATTAGAACTGTCTAGAATCATTTAGAACTGTCTAGAACAATCTAGAACTGTCCAAAATCATTTTAGAACTGCCTAGAACAATTCAGAATATCCCAGAATCATTTAAAACTGACTGAACCCTTTTAGAACGATCCGGAACCACTTTGACAGGACCAGAATCATTTAGAATAATCTTAAACTATCTAGAATCATTTAGAACCGTCTAGAACAATCTAGAACTGTCCAAAATCATTTTAGAAATGCCTAGAACAATTCACAATATCCCAGAATCATTTTAAACTGACTGAACCCTTTTAGAACGATCCGGAACCACTTTGACAGGCCCAGAATCATTTAGAACAATCTTAAACTATCTAGAATCATTTAGAACCGTCTAGAACAATCTAGAACTGTCCAATATCATTTTAGAACTGCTTAGAACAATTCAGAATATCCCAGAATCATTTTAAACTGACTGAACCCTTTTAGAACGATCCGGAACCACTTTGACAGGCCCAGAATCATTTAGAACAATCTTAAACTATCTAGAATCATTTAGAATAATCTTAAACTATCTAGAATCATTTAGAACCGTCTAGAACAATCTAGAACTGTCCAAAATCATTTTAGAAATGCCTAGAACAATTCACAATATCCCAGAATCATTTTAAACTGACTGAACCCTTTTAGAACGCTCCGGAACCACTTTGACAGGAACAGAATCATTTAGAACAATCTTAAACTATCTAGAATCATTTAGAATAATCTTAAACTATCTAGAATCATTTAGAACCGTCTAGAACAATCTAGAACTGTCCAAAATCATTTTAGAAATGCCTAGAACAATTCACAATATCCCAGAATCATTTTAAACTGACTGAACCCTTTTAGAACGCTCCGGAACCACTTTGACAGGAACAGAATCATTTAGAACAATCTTAAACTATCTAGAATCATTTAGAACCGTCTAGAACAATCTAGAACTGTCCAATATCATTTTAGAACTGCTTAGAACAATTCAGAATATCCCAGAATCATTTTAAACTGACTGAACCCTTTTAGAACGATCCGGAACCACTTTGACAGGCCCAGAATCATTTAGAACAATCTTAAACTATCTAGAATCATTTAGAATAATCTTAAACTATCTAGAATCATTTAGAACCGTCTAGAACAATCTAGAACTGTCCAAAATCATTTTAGAAATGCCTAGAACAATTCACAATATCCCAGAATCATTTTAAACTGACTGAACCCTTTTAGAACGCTCCGGAACCACTTTGACAGGAACAGAATCATTTAGAACAATCTTAAACTATCTAGAATCATTTAGAACCGTCTAGAACAATCTAGAACTGTCCAATATCATTTTAGAACTGCTTAGAACAATTCAGAATATCCCAGAATCATTTTAAACTGACTGAACCCTTTTAGAACGATCCGGAACCACTTTGACAGGCCCAGAATCATTTAGAACAATCTTAAACTATCTAGAATCATTTAGAATAATCTTAAACTATCTAGAATCATTTAGAACCGTCTAGAACAATCTAGAACTGTCCAAAATCATTTTAGAAATGCCTAGAACAATTCACAATATCCCAGAATCATTTTAAACTGACTGAACCCTTTTAGAACGCTCCGGAACCACTTTGACAGGAACAGAATCATTTAGAACAATCTTAAACTATCTAGAATCATTTAGAACCGTCTAGAACAATCTAGAACTGTCCAATATCATTTTAGAACTGCTTAGAACAATTCAGAATATCCCAGAATCATTTTAAACTGACTGAACCCTTTTAGAACGATCCGGAACCACTTTGACAGGACCAGAATCATTTAGAATAATCTTAAACTATCTAGAATCATTTAGAACCGTCTAGAACAATCTAGAACTGTCCAAAATCATTTTAGAAATGCCTAGAACAATTCACAATATCCCAGAATCATTTTAAACTGACTGAACCCTTTTAGAACGATCCGGAACCACTTTGACAGGCCCAGAATCATTTAGAACAATCTTAAACTATCTAGAATCATTTAGAACCGTCTAGAACAATCTAGAACTGTCCAATATCATTTTAGAACTGCTTAGAACAATTCAGAATATCCCAGAATCATTTTAAACTGACTGAACCCTTTTAGAACGATCCGGAACCACTTTGACAGGCCCAGAATCATTTAGAACAATCTTAAACTATCTAGAATCATTTAGAATAATCTTAAACTATCTAGAATCATTTAGAAC